TTCTTTTTCTTTGAAACAAGCATCTTGTTTTGCATCTTTATTATTGTTAACTTATTCGTGACTTTTAATTGTCTTAATTCTTTAAATTTAAAATTTTCATTATTATCAGAACAGAATACAATCACAAATAATGCCGTTGTAAGTAATAATCATATGATCTAAGCCAAAAAGTCTGTAATGAAAAGTTCCTATAATGATGGGTATCTGGTTGCGATGGGCTGTGAAGATGTTGGAGAGGGACAGCGAAAACGTCGCCTCAAAGCTTACGCTCCTCGATTTCTTCGAAGAAAAATATACAAGTTTCACAAAAAAAGAAACTTACAAGCTGAGTTACAAAGATAATTATCATCCATCAAATATATTAGTTACCACTTTCTTCATTATAATTACTATGTTATAAAATATTCCCTTCGTATGAGTATATGTATGAATAGCAAGCCTATTTAATATTGCCCTTATAATATACAACACATAGTGAAAGTTTAATTATTTGGCACCTTCAAAACGGTAGAATAATTTTGAAACAGAATTTTATGTTATTTGAATGAATGGTTGGACGTCAAAAGAGAGAGAAACGTCTGTCGGCTTAGCGACAAATATATTATATATTTATATATATGATATATATTTAATTTTGCAAAATAGAAGAGCTTCTTCCTGTGTTGTCTAAGTGAATTACTACCCAAGCAGACAAACATTTTCAAAAACACGTTTAAACACACAAAAAAGGGCTTAAAATCCATAAAAAGTGGACGTGTTTCGCTCACAATCGCGGTTCCAAACTTTCAGAGAAAAACAATCACTTTTTGCCATTTTTAATGCGATTAAACGCGTTTTTGAAAATGTTTGTCTGCTTGGGTAATACTGCTGGAATATATTAATAATATGCAACGTTATAGCGATTGGTACATAGAAATATAAAAATATTCAATCAATTCAATATTATTGCTTAAATCAGTATTTTATCAGCCTGAGAATCAATGCATTGATATATATTAGAAAAGAGGGAAGTACTGTTCGATTAGCAAAATAAACATAAAATGACTAAGTACCCGGTCATATCTGAGTACCAGTCATGAGTGGATACCAGTCGGATTGAGTACCCAGTTCGACTGGAACCCAGCTACTGGCACTGGTGCACATCTACTCAGATTTAATGTTGTCATATCTGACCATATTTGTGTTGGAGTGCGTGTGTGAGAATGTGCATTCAAAAATGAAGATACTTCCTTCAGAACCCTATAACAACGTTACAGCAAGTGCAATGCACATGAAACGCTTGTTTATGGGTTCTGGCGAAGAAAACATCTCTGTCAGAACGGAAAAAGAACCTCGCCGATGTTGCAATTTGCCTGAACCTTTTTTCGATTCCGAAAAGAACGATTTTTTTTACAGAGTTATCTATTTTCGATGCATTCGAGCTGATTTCTGATTGCATTGTGTTCCGGCTTCGTTAGAAATCTCAGTCACTCGCGGAAAAACGTTGGTGCTACATCTGCATTTGTTCACATTTTACTTGATTTTCAGATTAAAGTGGCTAAATTATTATCAGTAATACCAGCTGTATCAGACTTAGAAGCAGTTAATGATTATCAAGGACGAAGATTTTTCGAAATATACTAAATCCTTCAAGAGTGGGTCAGAAGCGGGGTAACCAAGTTTTTTTCATGATATAAGAACACGACAAAAAATTAGGCTTTATAAATATGAGAAAATATTTACCACGTTGAGTAACCATATTCTGAAGTGTTGTTGTATGCTTGTTGACTTGGAGAGTACTCGGCATTGCGAGATGATAGGATTTCGAAAGTGCCGTATGGTTGTTTTTCTCGTTAGACACTGTCGTCAAAGTTAAATTAAAGCAAGTGACACATTTGACTTTTGTAGTTGGACCATCGATTTGAGATGAACTATGTCCAATGAAACGTAATATTCTATGCAAGGCTTTTTGAGCACTTTACTTACCGTCGCCGCAGCAGCCACCACAGCCAAGCAGAAGAAAACATGAGTGTAATCACAGCGACCACCGCTACTATAATGTACTTGCGTGCAACTTGTCTATTTGACTTTCGGGTACTCAATCTTGCATAATGAACGCTTTCACTCTGCTTTTTGTTGTATCTCATTCCTCAAAACCTTACTGTATGCACCGATACAAAATACGTCGTATAATTAAAGTAGCCGAGGTATCGAGTAACGACGAAACATAGATTTGATGTAAAGGTTAGATAACACGCACTTTCTCCAAACAAAAACAATGATGATTGATTGATAGATAAAATTTTGCTGATCGAATCAATAAGAGAGTATTCGTTTTCATCTCACTTGCCGATGGTTTCACACATGTACATACTGATTATCCGTATGGCGTGTTTCAACTAATACGAAAGATCCGTCGTAAAAGATAATTAAGTAGAGTGAGGAACAAAAAGGCATATTTCGATCATCGGTCTGCCAGGTGACCGATCAATTAGTCTTACAAGAGAACATATTTGAGTGCACCATACAGAGAGAGTTTAAAACCATTCTATCCTGTGAGCTCTTTCCTGAATATCTCGAATATGAATATATTAGTTGCTCTCGTTTAGATTGAAAACAGAGAGAAGACCAAACTTTTTGAGTTTTAAATCTTATCCTACTAATAGATGTATCGTAATGTTTTTTTTGCAAAATTTGCTAAAATGATCATTTCATTTTTAGACAAGAGTTGTAGAAAATCAACAAGATCCTTTATGCGAACTAGCTCTCTGTCAAAAATAGTAGTATTATATTTGTTTCCCATTCAGATATTTGCTTAATAAAGTATATTTTTATTTTCGACAATTTAGTAATAATAACCAAAAGCGTTCTTCATACTTTTTTCACATATTAAAATCCAACATTTATTACCAAAAAGCTACTACGAATCAAACTATTCTCGTGAACTTATAGCATGAGAGACGGGAAAAAATATTATATAGATAAAGAAATTGTCATGCCAGCGCTTTTCCGTTAAAGAGAATGGACTCCACTCGCAGCTACTTAGCTCAAAGAATTAACCCACACGGCAGATAAATAGATTAGAGAAATGTTTTTTTTGTTTTCATTCTCTCACGTCAATTAAAAACATTTTTAGTTTATCCTTTGTTTTATACATCTTTTTGATTAAACTGTTTTCATAAAAAATTTAATAACTACTACTGAAATTGTCCAAAACAAAAAGGGCTTAATCAAGTGAATGCCTAAATGAAAAAAAATATAGTACTACTAGTTTTGACAGAGAACTATTATCCGTTTCAAAATATAATGCGTCCCACTGTTTTTTGAATAACTCAAGAACGCAATCAGCTAGAGACCTGCGGTTTTCACCAATCGAAAGAAGAGACAGGGGGAGGGGCGTCTTTTTCTCCAATATTGTATAAGACAAAATCATTTTGAAACCAGTCATTTCTGCAAAACATTGCAAAAAATGCATGAAAACGACCCGGCATTCTGAAGAAATTTTCCTTTTGACATGTGATCTAGATAGAGGGACTGCGGATCTATACTTCAGGATATAATTCGAATGATTATCTTACCGCATCCTGACGTTTAGCAAATAAAATCATCTATTTACTCGCAAGAAAACTATGAATTTCTTTTAATTTTGAAGCAATTTTTTTTACTTTTTGTCAAAATTTCATCTGAATGAGAGACCATTTTTTCGATGTTATGCAGAAATGACTGGTTTCAAAATGATTCCGTCTAATACGATATCGGAGAAAAAGACGCCCCCTGTCTCTTCTTTCGATTGGTGAAAACCGTAGGTCTCTAGCTGATTGCGTTCTTGAGTTGTTCAAAAAACAGTGGGACGCATTATATTTTGAAACGGACATTAGTTTGCATAAAGGATCTTGTTGATTTTCTACAACTCTTGTCTAAAAATGAAATGATCATTTTAGCAAATTTTGCAAAACAAAACATCACGATACATATATTAGTAGTATAAGATTTCAAAACTCAGAAAGCTTGGTCTTCTCTCTTTTTTAAATCCAAACGAGAGCAGTTACTATATTCGTATTCGAGATATTTATGGAGGAACCCATCGGAGAGAAAAGTTTTAAACTCTCACTGTGTGGGCACAGTCAAATATGTTGCCTTCTAAGAATGCTGTTGACAATCTTCTTTTGCAAGTTAATTATTGATCAAAATTTTCTTCCAGACAACCTATAAAAAGCAGCTTTTCGACAGGATTTGAAAACGTATACCCTTTATTTTCAGACGTTTGTTTACTATGCAAATAAATACTCATAGTAATCGGTCTCGGAAATATAATGTTTTTCATTCCTTACTGGCTGTCACATCTTATTGTATCACAAACAAAAGCGGAAGCGACTACTATGCCTATCGATAGCTGAGCCAATTTTTTTCTCTAATTCTTGGGTGTGGGTATATGGGCTTAGCTTTAGCTTAATTCTTCATCCAAACCCACACTCATCCACATCCCCACCCCACCCCCACCCAAACCCACATCCACACGCAGACCTACACCCACACCCACACCCACACCCTCAAATTCATTAGGTTCAAAGATCTTTTGTATAGTTGTTTGCAGTCAGATATCTTATTTGCTGTCTATTTTCATGAGTTTTCGTGACAAGTTAACATCATATTAGACCAAAGTGTAGTCCAAATTGTCCTATATTCGTGCTAAAATTTTCATGTTTTAACATCAAAGGATAAGGAAAATAACTCAAGAGTAAAATGCAAAGATTTGAAAATTTTAGCATGAATATAGGACGATTTGGGCTACATTTTGGTCTAATATGATGTTAACTTGTCACGAAACTCTTGAAAATAGACAGCAAATAAGACACCTGATTGCAAACAATTATACAAAACATCTTTGAACCTAATGAATTTTATACAGATCGATCTCCCCCATCTTGCCCTTTCTAACGGTGAAAGCCCCACCTCTGTAGCTTGTACCCTTGAAAAGTTATTCAAAAAATGGTCGTTAGTACTTTTGAAAAAATCCGGCATTAGTTAATATCTCTACAAAACACATACTTAGCAAAACTCGAAGCAGTTGCTTGACGAACACGTATATCAGGATAATGTTGTTTTAAGTGTTGTTGTTGTTCAAGATAAGTTAATATTCGAAAATCAATATCATCTATAAGTGGAGCTAGAGCAACCTATTTTATATACATACAAAAAAAATTATTATAATCATAAATTTTTTTTATCTACTTTAGCAAGAATATAGAAACTTGTACCATGTTGAATAGAATCTTCTAAAAATTCAATTCCTATGATTGCAAATGCATGACTATTAATTTATAAAAAATGTAATAGTGTTCGTAAAGCATATAATGAAACATGTATAACACGTGCATTATTATCATTAAGACATAATCGAAATGTGGAAAGTAATTCAGTTAATATGCCTAATTGAATACCTCTAAAAAAAACAATATTTTTATCAAAAACAAGAGATGATTAATATTCTAACCTAACCTTGAACTGTCTTGTGAATTAGTTGATACAAGTGAACATTGATTAATAAAAGAATTATTAAATGAATTTGATAATGATGATAGTGTTAAAAGATGAATTGTTGTTTGAATTAATGTAGCAAGTAAATTTGTACATATACCACGTAAAGGACGATCACCATGTTCACATAAAGATAAAAGATATATAATATCTTAAAGGAAAAAAAGATATGTTGATGTTCGATAGATTTTAATGTATTACAAGTCATTTAGAGATGAAAATTTCATTTTTCTCATTAGAGAATTCTATTTTAATTACAAAATTATATCTAATCAGAAATCTTCAAAGACTAAAGAAAAACTCCTTAGAGGATACAATTGATTCCATATCATAATGAAAAACCGAACATCTCTTTCGTACTAAATATATACCGAACTGGTACTTTGGCTTGGAACTTTTTTTTGAGGTAATTGTGTGATTGTATAATTTCAATCTCTGATGTATAAATGCAGCATCTGGGCTTCAATAAAGTGTTCTAGTTGATATCTCTTCGAGTTTGATAATGTTCTAGTCTTTTGTTGATTTCAAAAAAATTAAAAGTAGGAATAGGATTAGAACTGCTGAGTCAATATCGAGAAATCTTCATTCTTGAATTTTCAAATTCCAGTATATATGTTTCAACAATTGAATAGTGAAATTGTCATATCTATCAGATAAATTTCACTAAAACTTTGAGGCCTTAATCAATTGAAGCAACATGAACTAAACTGCCACAAATTTATTCACCAGATTGATCCCATTCACCTAAGCCCTCTTACTGTTACAATATTGGAAATAATTTTGGATTATAAAATAAATCCATTTTACTGAAGTGAAACTTTACAAAAAGAAGCCTCAAACAAGAATTAAACATACCTTCAGTAAGACAATCAAATGGATGAAATTGTTGATAAATACGATAGATATGTTGGTATAGCACATTTAACACTAATACATGATTCATCATCACTTTTTATCGTATCATCCATATTGAGTATATATCTAATCGAAAAAAAATATAATTTATTAACAAGTTCAACAGCTGATGTTCGTTTTTCATTATTAATCATTGATGTTGAATCGAATTCATCATTCATTTTATTTACTAAAAACTCTTGTTGTTCATGAATTTCAATAAATCAACGTTGATATGTTGAATAAGCTATTGTTTTAGAAAAAAAAACACAAATAAAAAACTCTTGTTTTTTTTTTCTCACTATTTACCTGTTTGAAATGTTTGACTAAAAGAAATTTTTTCTATAGATCCAATTTGAGTTGAAATTAGTAATTGATCAAAATCAAATAAATTTGAATAAGTGATTAATTGAATAAGAATTTTATCAAAACCAAGGTAACTAATTGTTAAACGTGTACTAGCATTTTGATTTTGGTGTTCAAATAATTGATCTATTAAAATAAAAGACAATTATAATGAATTGAAGTTATTATTTGAAAGAAAGCTTACTAATTGTATTTATCATTAGAAAACGTGCTATAACAATAGGATAACATATTTGACGAATGGGACATGAGAAGTTCCTAAGAATAATTTAGTAATTTATTATATATTTCAAAAGAAAATTATTTATTATTAATATTAGGAAAAGAAAAGGAAAAATTCGTTCTCAATCGACTTCATACTTTATCTACAACGATAGCCAGTCAACTACTATGACTAAATTATTTAATTTCTTGTTGACATTTAATGATAAATGAAATTTTATTATTCTTAAGTTGCATGAAACTCTGCGCTCGATTACTTTCGAGGTGATCTGGGTGTGGATGTGGGTGGTTTGGATAAGGGTGGGTGTGGTTGTAAGGAAAGGTTACTTCTATACACAAATACGTACCCACACCCCATGCCCATAGTTGCAGCTAGACACTCACACCCTCATAATATGACTAGCAAATTGTCTATATTTAATCCTATTAATGCGATTCGTTCTGCATCACTTAATTTTATTGCAAAATGGTTCCCACGAAATGTTTCTCTTCTTTGACTCATCTTTAATTTTTCTTAACACGTAATTCCATGTTTGCTTGTATATTAAGAATTTCAATAACGTTGCCTTCTATGCAAAGTTTCTAACCTCTATTTAGTAACTTCAATTATGAAATACTCGGTAATTTTGACAAAAAATTATAGCATGATTTCTCCAGAAACAGGAAGAGAGCTAGTACATAATCATCTGCAGCACCAAGTAACATGAAAATTTTTATGTCATATGAATTTTTTACTCTAACTATTTTTTCTTGCTATTTGTCAAATAGATGTAATTGAACTGTATAAGGACGATGAGGTGATCAAATATGAAAAACTCCATTGACTCGAATATGATTTAGCTTTTTCTTAGGCAATTTAGACTGGTTTGTTTTTCTGAGTATTCAATAGAGAATAATTAACGTTGAAATTTCTTCACTTGAGAAAAAAAATTAGTGTCAAACTCTAGTTTTGCTAATTTCATTGTTAGCCTCCCGACATGCCTGAGTCTTCTTCAAGCATCTTCGCCATACTTTCTTCGGATGCATCTAACGAGGTTTCAGTGGTAAATAGAGTTTTTCATACATCGAACAATAAAAATATAAAATATAAAATTTTCCATTTATTTATTTTGAAACTTTCAACACTACTTCTATAATTATCGATTTCAAAAAAAATTTTACGATAGAAAATATTTATATATATTAGAATAAAGTTCAAAGTCCAATGAATCATGATAACTCAAATTTGCGCATATGCAAATATCATTGTATATTTTTACCATCGCAACAACACGAAACGCAAAGGTAAGGTAAGAAAAGAAGAGGTAGAGTATATGAAAAACGAAATGCATTCGATTACGAGCACAAACATGAAAAACAAAATCGTCTGCGCGATGAAAAAGTCATGCTTCATTGATACATGTAAATATATTTTTGTGGGGAAAAACCAAGTAATTTTGCCAATGATAAATACAGAATAAAATCAATTGCAAGCGCATAAAACAAAATTTGCTACACTCCAATATTACATAGCACGTAATTATTTTCAGTTTCTAAAATTATTATTAGACTGGTAAGAAAATTAAAGTTAAAGGTAGAGTAGCTATACAAAAAAAATGATGGGACATAAACATGTGTCATTTTGATCGTTATAAAGTATTTTTAAGAGAACTCCGCTTGATGATACTCAGAACATGCAACTGATTGTCTTGGTTGCCGTGTCTTGTATGTATAAAACAATCTTATTGTAAAACATATTAAACAGAATAACTGTTCGCATGCATTCATTTCAGCACGAGTACCAGAAATGAAAGGCACAATTTCTACTTTTACAAATGCTCTTTTGCCGTTCTATGAACTAATCTGGACAGGTTATATAGACAAACGAGCTAGACATGCCAAAGCTCAAGGACATTCTGGACTAGTTCACACGTAGCTGCAGGAGTTTTCACGTCAGGATAACTAGTTAGGACCGATATTTTCGACATTTCGGACTAGTCATGTTGTCCGTTCTCAGCGACTATTTATTTCCTTAGCTATTCTTCGTTATTTCTGTGGGTGGGTGTGGGTGAGTGTTTGAATCTTTTTATTGCACCCACCCTCACATCCACATCCACACCCACCCACAGAAATAACGAAGAATAGCTAAGGAAAGAAATAGTCGCTGAGAACGGACAACATGCCTAGTCCGA